TATTTCAGGATCATCTCTAGGGAACAGGATTGCGGTGGCAAAGGGAATATTTTTATATGTTCTTTGAAAAAAAATTGTTAAGAAGAAGTACTTTCTTCATAACTCAAAATTTTAAATAAAAATTTTAGACCAGTTGACAAAAATCAATGCTGTATTTCTCTTGCTTCAATACACTCTTGAATTATAGCTTCAAAACAATGAATACTTTAAACATCCTCAATTTTGGAAGAATCGCAAATGAATTAAAGCAGATTTTTACTTCATTTGCTCCCAAGCTTTGCGTGTAGTTCTGTTTGGGATGTCTTCATTTATCCTTTCCTAATTGAGGGGTACAGAAGGGGAGAAGGGTTGTGTCGCACACCTGAGAGCTAAATACCTCACCTTAGGATTGTCACATAGTAATTATGCCATTCTTATGGACGTAATTATTGTTGTATGTCATTACATTACAATGTCATATTATATTACAAAAGTCTGCATACTGTGCTATCGCTCACTCTTGGGTTTTTAGCACCGAATATGTAAATCTTTACTTTCCAGAATCTGGCTTCTGCATTTCATTCCGGAGAAGGGCACTATTAGTTCACGGGTTGGTTGGCCCATCAAGGAAGAAAGATGTGTGCCTGGAGTTTTCTTTAAAAATGGGTCCTTTCAAGGGCTGTTGAGCTCATTCACCTCCTTCAGGAAAGTAAATTTGAGGAGTAAAGTCAGCCGAGGTGAGAGGTGTATATGCAGATCTCTTATTATTTAAGCATTCCAAGAATGCAGTGTCCTGGCCTTCGAAGTTGCATAATAAAGATGTTTGGCACTTAGGTGTTTGACTTGACTTTGTAGTGTGGCCTCTCAGGGTCAGGCTATTTTTCTGAGAGCTGGAACTCCCTCATTGTGCCAGGTCACAGGAAGGGACAGGAAAAGTCTGGGAAGGGGAGGGTGGAGACCTGAGGGTCCAGGGACCCAAGAGGGCACACCCTTCATCGCCCTGCACCGATTCCCAGCCCTGCCTGCACACGCAACCACCTGGGAGCTTTAAAAAAGCCTGCTATCTCAGCCCTGGCCAGGAACTGACCTAAGTTGTCCCCATATCCTAAGGCTGGGGGTTCAGTCCCTGGTCAGGACACATACAAGAATCAACCAACGGATGCATAAATAAGTGGAACAACAAATCAATGTTTCTCTCTTTCTCTCCCTTTTCTTTCTCTCTAAAATCAATAAAAATTTAAAAAATAAATAAAATTAAATATAAAAAAGACTGATATCTACTCACATCAGACTAATTAATTTGGAATCCCTGGGATTTTGGCCTAAGCAATTTTTCTTTTTTTAAGTTCTCCAGGCTGTTTTAATGGGAGGCCAAGGTTGAGAACCACTGTCTGGCATGTAGCACACTATGCCTTCTAGAAGCTCATGTGCACATTAGGAAGGAAGGAAGGAAGTGTGTGTGTGTTGGGGTGAGGAGGCTGGATGTACACTGGATGGGTGGACTCGCATCTGTCACTCCCTGGAGGCGAGAACTAATTCCATACGGGTTCCATTGTTTCTCCCCCTCTAATATTCTTCTACTGCTGCGTGAATACAAGTGGAATGTGGTCCTGGTGAGTGGTATTGAATAGCAAGTGAGAGGATCTGAGGGGAGATAAAGATCACTTATTCAAACAAAATACACACTGTTGGGGCCAGGCAGCTTAGGCCAGAGCTGGTTGTATTTACTCAGCCCGGGAGAGTTTACTGTATCACGTCATGAGGCATTTTTTTCATCAGGGCCTCAGGCGAGCCCGTGAGGTGGGCATTAGTGCCTTTCAGTGGATGGGGAAACTGAGGACTGGGACCCCAAAGCTATTACATGACCAGGTAGAACCAGAGCCTGTCTGGCTACCAATTCCAGGGCTCACGCTGCGTCCCCACAGCAGCTTTAAAAGGCTGTTTCTGATTTTATTTTTTTTCTGCTTCGACTTATCCAACAAGTCCCTAGTTCTCTTGAGTCCTTTGTGAACATTTGCAACACTTGGGGCAAGAGGATTAACTAATAAAAAATTGACTAGGGAAGATGTTGATCAAAGGAGCAAGGAAAAACACCAAATCACCTGCTTTTCCTGTTCTCTCCTGTAGAGAGGGTTTACCTTAAAACCATCTACAAATTCCCAGTGTTTATCTACCATAGCAACAGCTAGCATTTGCAGAGCGGGTGCTATGTGCCACTTACTGGGCTTTCTAAAAATTATTGGGTTGGCCAAAAAGTTTGTTTCTTTTTTTCCATAAACGGCTCTAGTAGCGCTTTGTTGTCTTTAACTTCATTCAAAACCATTTAATTAGATAGTATTGTAACATCTGTCATGTAGGTGTGCATTTAAAAAAAACTTATCAAAATTGGTGAAATTTTGTGTAGCCATTTTAATATTGAAGATGGAAGAAAATAAACAACACATTCAACATATTATGCTTTGTTATTTCAAGAAAGATAAGAATGCAACTGAAATGCAAAAAAAAAAAAAATTAAGATTTGTGTAGTGTGTGGAGAAGGTGCTGTGACTGATCAAACATGTCAAAAGTTTGCAAAGTTTCTTGGTACTACTGACATTTGACCAAATAATTCTCTGCTGTGGGGCTGCCTTATGCATTGGAAGAGGTTTAGCAGCTCCCCTGGCCTAAGAAGCCAATAGCGGGAGACAGCCGACATACTCAAAATATCCAAATCAATAAAGTTATTGGTGAAAATGAACGATGTGCCTATTATTTTACAGAAAAAACTAAACGGACCTTTTTGGCCAAGCCTATCATTATTTAGTCCTCCCAACAACCACACAGCACAGGCGCTATGATTGATCCCCATTTTAAAGGTGGGGAAACCGAGGTCCAGAGAGCTCAAGTAACTTGCCTGAAGCCACACAGCTAGTGGATAGTAAAGTCCATATTGGAATTGTGTTTAAGGCAAGAGCTCACAGACCTACCCATTATGCTGTGCTGACTCTAGAGCTACATTCTGTTGATCTGAGCCCAGTCTGACTCTGGGCTCCAACCTTTTTTACCTATTTCCTCTGCTGTAATGATCATTTACACTGATTGTGTGTTTACCAGGCATTAGGGGTTGTTCTAAGGGCTTCACAAATAGTATCTCATTTAATTTCTTGATCCTGGAGAGCTGGGCCCCTGAGGTAGCCCCTCATGGGGAGGCTGTTCTTACCACTGCCTCTCTTTCAGCAAGGCACCCTTTGTCCCGTTCCAAAGTGGCCACGTGACTCCTCATCCGACGGCTCATGACTGAAGAAGAGAAGTCCTCTAGCCCCTCTGTCGTCAGGGTCAGAACTGCGTACGATCGGCTCTTCCTCCAGGTCCCGGCTGTGGCCTCCCAGGTCACCTCCTCTTGAGTTAGTCTTGTCTTCTGCCCACAGCCTTCTCACATCAACACGCCGAGGGGGCCGTCCTCTCAGCCATCCTTATGACATGCTGATTTGTCTCTATGACTGGGCTAAGTCCGCAGCATTTTGTTCTGGGCTGAAGCAAGAGGATCCTTGCTTCCAGAGCCTGGTTGACCAAACCTCAAATGAGCCATGATGTCAAATGAGGGCTCACTGCCACATCCTGATCTGAGCCTCGGGGAGGCCAGGCAGAGCGTCTTTCACCTTGCTCTGGAGGGGTCACTTTGTCCAGGCAGCCTCTGTTCCCATTGCTCTCACACCCAGTTTTCTTGTCGTGAGGATTTCCCCTGGCATTTCCTTTTGTCTTCAGCATTGTTCCCTGGCTCCTGTGAGCCTGGGTCCTTCTCTGCTGTCTGGTCTCCCCTTAACTCTCGGGATCTCATTGAGTTCTTCCCTGATCAACGTGGCTAAAGGAAGCCCCTCTTTCTCACCCCTCAGTCTTAACATCGCCCTTATTTCTTTTTCATACTCTTTTTTTTTTTTAAAGATTTTTACAATTTATTTTTAGAAAGAGGGGAAGGGAGGAAGAAAGAGGGAGAGAAACATCAATGTGTGAGAGATACATCTATTGGTTGCCCCTTGCACGCCTCCAGCTGGGGACCTGGCCCGCAGCCCAGGCACGTGCCCTGACTGGGAATCAAACCAGCCACTTTTCAGTTCACAGGCCGGAGCTCAATCCACTGAGTCACACCAGTCAGGGCTCTTTTTCATACACCTTAAACATCACATTTATTTATTTACTTAATTATTGCCTATATTCCCAATGAAAATATAAGCTCAAAGAAGACAAGGAGTTTTCTTTTTCATTCACATAGTGTACCTTTTCACATGATGCCTGGCCAATACAAAGCGCTGTGTACCTTCTCTCATGGTGCCTGACCAGCAGGAGGTGCTCACTAGATACGTGCTGAATGAAAGAATCAAAGGATACCCTGCCATCGACAGCGATGATACTGCCACTACTGCAGCGTCCCAGCCCCACCAAGGACCTATTCTTATTTACGTCTCCTGCATCTCCTTAAGTAAATCCAGACGCTGTTGAGGGTTTTGTTACTGTTGTTTTTGCATGCACTAAATGACTCCCAGCCAGTCGGCCGCTTCTCAGTGTCCCCATGTTGAATGAAGTTCTGTTGTGCCTGTGGATACCTTCTGAGAGAAAGGCAGTTTGGGCTGTTGGCGAAGGGTGCAAACTGCCGCTGAGGACGATGGGTTCTTTGTGCCTCTTTGGAAACGTGTTAGTCAACTGAGAGGGTCCCTCGAAAGCTTAAACAGCTAACAAAGTATAACTGTGTCCCAGGCAGTAGGCTGGGGATCCAGGGACATACGAAGGCACAGCTTCTGCATGGCAATGGGTTTTCTGACTATTGGTGAGAAAAGAACGATATGAGAGAGACCCCAGGATGTGAGGCAAATACTAACTCAAAACCGAACAAGATGATGAGTACTTCGCTTACAATGGGGAGGGTTATTGGGGTCTGTGAAGTCTTTATGAGATTTATTCAAGTCAGAGGATTTGCATGAATTTGCTTGCATGTACCCCACAGCCTTAGCCCTCCGTGTGGTCACTGGCCTCTCTGTCCCCTCCAGGTAGAGTCATCGACCGCTCCAGTGGTTCTCTGGCTGCAGGGTGGGCCGGGATCTTCGTCCTTGTTTGGACTCTTTGTGGAACATGGACCTTATGTTGTCACAAAAAACCTGACCCGTAAGTATTGCTTGACCTCTCTTTCCCTATGGAGAATTCTTCATCTGAATCTCATTTCTGCTCCAGAAATAATTTAGAGTGTACACTGAACCACTAGGAATAGCTTAACAGTTCCAGATTACGAAAACATAGCCTTCTGGCAATGTCTGCCCATGGAGGAGGAGCCACCGGGGCTGGGCTGCTTTCTCCCTTGAAATTTGGGTGAAAGGTTCTAAGCTATTTTCTTGCAGTCTGCTGCTAACTCAAGCAAGCTGGGCTTATGAAAACAGGTGGTACTTATTACTACTTAGGCAAGCTCTTGTGCATGGGCCTAATGGTGAATTATATCCCTAATTATTCATATGAACTGAACACCGTGTGGTTCAGTCACAAGTGATCGGATATCTTGGAAGCAGGGTACTGTGGATGGGGGCTGGGGTGAGGGAAGGAACGGAGGAGGAGCCATGCTGGCTGTAACCCCCGTCTACCTCCATCTCTTTTTTCGGGGGAGATGGTGTACTTTCCCTGGGTGAGAATTTGGAGGATGCAGGAAAGGAGGAAAGGAGGAAAGTGTGTGTGTCACCTCTATGGAGGTGGTTCTCTTCAGCGTTGGGTGGGAGGAAGAGGACTGGAAGCTGGAGCAAGAGGATGAGCCCCCAGATGGGACAGATGGGTTTATTGCATGGGTGGCTGATGGGTAGTCTGTGTGAACCAAGTTGCACAGGGGTTTGTTTCTAAACTTCATCTGAGATGCAGAAACCCTCTGGGTCTGGAAAAAGTAGAGGAGAGGAGAGGAGAGGAGAGGAAGGGAAGGGAGGGGAGGGGAGGGGAGGGGAGGGGAGGGGAGGGGAGGGGAGGAGGTACTGGTGTCTGCTCCCACGGTGAGAGGACAAAGCAGGGCAGGGCGACACCAAGGGTGTGTTGACGTGGTGAGAGCAGGTGGGCGTGCTCGGCTCTGGACCGAGCCGAGCCTTTGGTGGGATGCTCTGTTCGTGACTCATTCTTGAACCTCTTCTCTGTCCCTCCAGTGCGCACCCGAGACTTCGCCTGGACCTCCACCTTGTCCATGCTGTACATGGATAGCCCGGTGAGCGCCGATGGCCTGCTGAGGCAGCCACGTGGGCCTCTCTCGTCTTTCTCCTTTTGATTACGTGCACTTAAGAAATAGGAAAAAAAGGGAATAGAAATTTAGTTTCTTTCTTTCTAAAATAGAATTTCATCTTGTAAAAAAAACTTTTTTGAGATTTAGTTTTTCTACCGTGTATCGTTATATCTGAGTTTGAGGATGTTGCTTGGTGCTTTCTCTCCTTTGCTCATTTTTAATCTTATGAAACATCCTGCTCGCTGAATCACGTCACCCAAGATAAGGGGTTAGTTTCTTTCCACTGATGATGTGACTTCCCGATATCACGGGTTATTATATAGTGTCAGGACTCCGCATCTTTCAAATAGAATTCCAGATAGAAAAAGTCAAAACTTGTCTCTTTCACTTATCACCACAAGCAGAATGCCTCATCTCCAAACAAAAAGTGGAATTCGCCTTGGGAAGTTCTTCTGAAACTGAGCCCAATAAACTGCAAAGTAAGAAAGTAACTTTAGGATCAGCTTCTGCAGATATTTTGCCTCGTAATTTCTCTAATGTCTCTCACTTCCCAGATGGTTCAAAAACAGGTAAATAGGGAGAGAAAGAAAAGCCCCAAACTCTTGTTGCCCTCTGACCTCCCACCTCCATCAACCATCCTCTCTCCTAGTCTGTAATGCATAAAAGTTGAATTAAATGTCTCGATCCCTTGGGTGTTTCAGGAGAAAAAAATATGTATCTGGTGGACGGTGCTTTCCTTATACAAATTATTTACGCAAAATAAGTAGTAGCTTCTTTTTGTTCACAACTCAGTTGTCTATGAACATCTAGGTATAGGGAAATATTAGTTAAAAACTCATTCTTGTTTTAAAGCCTCTCGTCTACTGAAGGTGAAAGGTCTTTGTGGCTGTATTTTTCACTAATAAGGAAATTAAAACACACACACACACACACACGCACACACACACACACTGTTATTTCAGGAGAGCAATGCGCAGTCCAGGTTTCAGAGAGGAGACAACAGGGGCCAAGAAAAGGTGACTTCCTCATCCTTAAATCAACATCTGGCAGGGCCCCCACTGCGGAATCGGAATCGGACAGCTCAGCCCCTGACCTAGGGAAGAGCTTTGTGCTGATGCTCTTTATTTGGGCCTGGAGGAGGGGCGGGGAAGTGGGCGAAAGGAGCATCCCCGACCGAGGATGACTAAGCGCACCTGGCTCGTGGCAAAAATCCGAGGTCAGGGGCTTGGCTTTTGGAACAGGTCGGTTTCCTTCCAGCGTGGAGTCTCTCTGTGGGGCTCCAAAGCACACGTTCCTCTGTGTTCATACCTGCTTATTTATTTCCCCTTCAGGTGGGCACAGGTTTCAGTTTTACCGACGACCCCCAGGGGTATGCCGTCAACCAGGATGATGTGGCTCGAGATTTATTCAGGTAAAAGGTGCTGGCTCTCTCTTGACCTTCTGCAGACTAAACGCTTTACTTTCAACAGATAAACTCTTTCAGTAGTGGAAGTGTTACTGACGTCCTCCTTGTCTAATTCCTAAAGGCGTTTTCAGAATACTTGTTCTCGAGGGGTACACACACACACACCCCCAGCGCCCCCGCCCCACAGTTTGTTTTCCACCTTGTCACATTATCACTGATAATTGCAAAAGTGGCCCGCAGAGAAAGTAACAAGGAGAGCTGAAAATTTAAGAAACAATGGAAATCTTTAAGAAATGATGGAAATGAAGAATTATTCAACCCTTAAAGATGATCTTCCAGACTTTCAACCAGCTGCCTGAGAGGTTCAGCTTGCCTTCCAACATTATATTTAACTTTGCATTTGTCAGGAAGCAACAGCTTGGGTGTTTGTTTTCTTTCCCAGCATTCCTCCTTTTGTGACCCTCAGATGCAGTTTTTCATTCTGTTGCTTCTCATGGTTCTCCAGGCTGACAGCTCAGCTCATTAGCTGATTTCTTGCCTTTTCCCTTCATCTTACAAAATTATTTGTTAAAAAAAAAAAGGGTCGGGGGAAGGTGCCCTGGCTGCTGTGTCTCAGTGGTTTGAGCGCCGGCCTGCGAACCAAAGGGCTGCCGGTCTGATTCCCAGTCAGGGCACAGGCCTCGGTTGCGGGCCAGGTCCCCAGTGCGGGGCGCGTGAGAGTCCACTGATTGATGTGTCTCTCCAACACTGATGTTTCTCTCCCTTTCTCCCTCGCTTCCCCTTCTCTAAAAAAGTAAATAAATAAAATCTTTTTAAAAATGGAAGGAAAATGAAAAGATGTAAGCCTGATCAAACAGTGTATGTGTGTTTGTATATAATTTCTTCCTTTCTTTTCCTTACATTTTATAGCGATTTTAGCACCTTTTTTAAAAAAGTAAATGACCTTTCATATCCACTTTTTTCCAGCTTATAAATTATTACTAGAGACCAGGTCCCGAGTTCTTTCCAGCCACGAGGCCACCACTCTTTATGCATTACCGTAATTTACTAAAAGAACCCTAGTGGCCAGAAGGAGTTAACCAGCCCCTCTACCCAAACTCCCGCAAACACTCACTCTGCTAATTACTTGCTGAGCCAACTGCAACCAAGTCCAAAAGTGAAAGTGTATCCAATGGAGTCAGAGGTTTTTCATCTCTGACAAAAGCCTTCCGCTGTATTCTTTGTCCCCAAGGCAGGTGGCTGGGGGAGAAAGGAAACGGGACCTTCCCCGCCTTTCTCCCAGAGACACCACTCTCTGCTCTGCTTTCTGACCCAGAAAAGAATACGGCTGTTGTCCCATGACTGGAACACTCCCATTCCATTTCCAGGAGGGATGCGTAGGACCCCACACTGCCACCTCCAGGTCCGGCGGATCCTGGGACAGGTCCCCTTGTCCACTCTGGCCCATACCCCGTCCTCAAATATAATCTCAATGGCTGTCCTTCCAAGTGTAAAGCACCAGGTCTTTCTCTTTTAGTGCTGTCTGTGAGCTCTCATTTCTTCAGATGGAAAATCTACTTTTCTCTCCTATCCAACATCCCCCACCCTCTTTTGGTTTAAATCCAAACCAGCTTCGTTGTTTAACTCGCAAACACCCGCAGGGCGGAGGTTCTGTATTAAAGAAACACATCAATCCCCTCTAAGCCAGAGGGTTGCACCCTTGCCATTCCCTTTCTGTTTCTCCTTCCCCTCCCCGCCCCCAAGACGGTCACAGCTTCCAGTTGACCCTCCGTGTGGATATTTACTGCTGACATGTGGTACATCTCCTCTTGCATGACATGTAAAGAGAACCTATTTCAAAGCATCCATTGTTTATAGCTGTTTGAGTTCTTTTCGCTTCAGGCTCTTAGAACTGAAAAATAGCTAATCAAGGGCAGTGCAGAAAACTGATTTCAGCTGTTTCCTCTCTAGTTTACACTATTTGTTTCCTCTCTCCAGCTCTCCAGATGGGTGGTTGGAATAAAAAGGTCTTCGCTTTGAAACCTGCAAATGGGCTACTGCAGGTTTAAAGAGTAAACCTTTCTTCTTCCCCCTTTGAAAACCATCTTTCTTTTCTTCCAGAAATCCCATTTCTTTTGACTATGATCCGTGCCTGGAGTGAGGAGAAGACTCCTCAAGGGAAGTCTGACATTCACATTCAGGCTGCTCTTCTGTGTGTTTGGAAAGGAAACAGCTTTACTAACAAGATGTTTCAATGTTCTTTGTTTCTTTTTTCATACTTGGATTGTGCTATTGAGCCACAATGCCTCTGGGGTTTAGAACAAAATAAATTTACTAAGGAATAAGACATTTACTAACTTTGACTTGGAGAACACCAACTGGTGCCCCTCTCCTTCTGCCACGACTTACCCATGGCTACTCGGTGCTGCGCGTTCCTGGTGCTGCCGTACAGAGCAAGGGAGCCTCTGCCCTGCTGTTGTGCCTGACGCTGCTTTCTTACCGCCAGGTGGAAATGGCACTGCCACTCACTTCCACGGGTTAGAGTGTATAGGGAATAGTATCTGTTGTTACACAAAGCTTCAGAGCCATGTGACTATGAGACAGGCTTCATATATTAAATGAGAACGTGGCCCGATCCTCACGGACTGGAGAAAATCACGCCCGGCCGCACCACAAGGCGCGATGAATGAACAGGGAGGGTGGTTCCTCATCTGTGGTCTGTGGTGACAGAACAAAACCACCAAGTTCTGCTGAGCTTGCTTTGGTCGAACTGTCAGTGACTAAAGCTGCCCCTTGTTCGGCTTTCGATAGTATGGAGCTTTTGCTTAGATTATTTTAACTTCGATCCCTCCGAGTGTCTTGAACGTAGTATGCCTTTGACACTATTAGACACGACCTATCCCAGTTATGTCTTCTGGTCTCCAGAGAGTTATCATTTTCACACCCCTTCTTGGACCCAAACTCACCACCTTCCCTTTTGGGGCCTGAGGAGCAACTTTCTGCTAGTCATTCTCCCTTATAGGCTCTATTTCCTCCTGTTGTCTTTCCGCTACCAGGTAGCTTCAGACTAACATTCTAATTCTTAGAGAAGGACTCGGCTCAGTGCCAGCAAGGTTGCCAAATGGCTTTGTCTGGAAGAGGCATGCTTCCCGGTGCCTGAATACATGTGTGGAGGGGACACACATGTGCATACATTTGTGTGTATTTTGTAAAATATATTTTGGCAATTGAGCTTCTGAAATCTGAAATGTTATGTGACCATCATTTTAGATTATATTTTTAGGCAAACCCTCATCATGCAACAAGAAAAGTCCTTGGCTAAATCACAATTAAATAAGCAAAAGCCATATGTAAATCTAACTTGCTAGGTTTACCTTTTTGATTTTTCAATCCCATTTGAGAAAGGCCTACCAAAGCCTTGCTATCATTAGCCTGTTTTTTGTTCTGATCTTACTGTGAAGTTAAAACTCTCTAACTTCTTTAAGTGGGGACTTGTTTTGAACACTTCAGCTAGAGAATCCTAGCATCCTTTGAGCTAGAAACAACGAAGACTGCCAGACAAAGGAAATGCCCCGTTAAATTTGCATTTCAGATAAACAATGAATAATTTTCTTTTTAATCTAAGTATGTCCCATGCAACATTTGGGACATGCTTATGCTAAAACATTATTTGTTGCTTATCTAAAATTCTAATTTAATCAAGTGTCTTGTATTTTTATTTGCTAAATTTGGCAACCCTAACAACTCTCCAGCAAATTCTCCAAGCAAATAAGCTTTAAGCTAAAGCATATGGCTTAATTGAAATTTGCTATATTAAATTATCTATTGCCTTTCCAATTAGCAGGAAGAAGGAAAGGGAAGTCTTTGTTTTAGCCTGAAGTATAGAGAGGGAAGGGTGAAGAATAAACTCCTATTTTTATCTCTGCTCCAAAGCTTATTGTCCGCACTAACATGGAAGCTGTATAATGCAACTTCCCAGATTTAGTTACTGCAAAGATTTTAGTTACTATAAATAATAAATAGAGAGATACACCAAAACTCTACAGTAGTGTTTAATGGTGGATTTTTATGAAGCCTTTGAAAATTAAGTGTAGCCAGGATCATGGTGACTGTAATGACCCAGTTTTGCCTCTCTGCAGCCCTTGAACTTGCTCCTCCTCCTGATTTTGCAGGGCCTCCTCGCCTTTCATCTTTACCAGGCGGTTCATGGCTTTTAGTCCCTCAGCAGGAAGCTGCCACAAAACCCCTTCTCAGGCTGTGCACTCTGGGCGAAAACATTCATAGAGCTTCTGAGTTTCACAAGTTTTGTTTCCTTAAGCCTGTTTAAATCTATTTCAGCATAACTCACCCAAGTGGCTTTGGCATTCTTTAGTAAATGTGATTTTTTTTTTTTTTTTTTAGCTTAGAGGCCATTGTACGTTTTCTTACCTATCTGTGGCCTTTTGATATTTTCCTTTAGACTACAGTCATTTTTACAGCTTTTCTGTTCTTTGGTCATTAAATAACTGAAACTCTGGGAGCCCCATTAGAAATGTTCAGGGTTGCCCACAGGAAGAGGCTGGTAAGCAACAAAAGTTCCTATTACCTCACCACAAGCCCAGGTTAATGGGGTATAAGGTGTGCAGAACTGCCTCTAAGAATTGCCAGATAAAAGGAGAAAGCCTGTATCACTTGGCTCAAGGGTCCCCTCAACAAGTAAATGATCCAAGTTGGTAACTCAGAGATTTGGAAACCTGGCCAGAGTGTTGACGTCCACCCGTCCTAACTTCATAATGTCACAAAGTAAGACCACAATATTTTCTAACCATCCACAGAGCACAGAGTGTTATGCACATGAGACTTTGAAAAAGAATGCCTGCATGAGCTTATACCACAAGGGTCTCTTATCTCAAATTTGAAACCTCTTGCCCAAGGCTCAGACTGGTTGGTAGGAAGCCTTTCTAATTCCACCGACTTTTACTGCTTTTCTTTTTGCAGCGCGCTGATTCAGTTTTTCCAGTTGTTTCCGGAATTCCAAGAGAATGATTTTTATGCCACTGGGCAGGTGAGTTGAATGAAGTCTGTTTTCTTGTGTGATTCTAACCTCATGAGGACTGAAATATATTATGGCACTTCTGATTTATTCCTTCAGAATAGACGCATGCACACACATGTACACAAATATTAATTCAGGCCATATTAAACATCCTCCAGTTATCCCTCTAAATTTCTTCCATAATGTTAGTTTTTAAATTTAGGGCTCAATAAATGTTCATATACCACAATGGGTTGTCATGCCTCGGTCCCCTAATTTTTGTTGTTGAATTCATGATTATCATTTTGAAGAGCCAAGACCCTGGGATTTATAGAATGTTCCGTTTTTCTGAGTTTGTCTGAGTCTTCCATGCTTACATTCAGAGGAAACATTTTGGCGAGAACACAACATAGATGGTGTTGTGTACTTTCTTTGTGTCATGTCAGGGCGCACATAATGTCCGTTTGTCCCATTGTTGGCGATGCCGTTGTAAACCCCCCTCCCCAATGTAATAACTGATTCAGACAGGAGTCATCAATGGACGCTAAAAGTACTGGGCGACAGATTGGGAGTGAACAGGTGTTCACATGCTCTCGGGTCCTTTAATTTCAAAAGGATAAAGGTACCTTTCCAATGGTAAGATATGACGGCTACCAGATTTTTCTGATCTGTCTTCCTACAGATGGCATCTGTCTTCTATACAGAGCTTTCACTCCTATTCTTCCCTAGTTTTTACACTTTGAAATATCGCTGCGGATTCATGCATTGCTATTTCTGTTTGATGTATTTAAATTTACTGCTGTCATTATTGTTTTTGATGCTCACGTTGTCCCACATTCGGCCCATGGGAGCCCCTCTGTCCGGCTCCTACAACCTTTTTGACAGGTGATCTCTGAGCACTACCTTGCTGTTTGGCACAAATCTATTTCTAGGACTACCTTGTGCTTTCCCTGCCCTAGCCCTGGAATCAAGGAATCTTGGTTCATTTTAATGGAAATTGTTACTTAGAAACCAAGACTTGAACACTAAGTGTGCTCATTGCTACTGGCATGCAATTCCTTTTAGGCTTGGTGTTCGGGCAGAGGTACCATTACACTAATACCCATCATTCTAATTCAACATCACAAGGTTCTTCTCTCCCCCATTCTGTATTTGTATGCCCTTTTTTTCACACTGACAGCCGGGGTTCCCAACAGTTTCAGTGTATTCATCTTCTTGCTCAGTCCTACAACATGTGCAAAATGATTTCAGAATTACTACATCAGTACTACTACAGCAAGGAACCTCTGAAGTATTGTCCATATTTTTTGCTGTAATTATTTTTATCATTAGACTATTATTTCCTTACAGGTTTAAAAACAAAGTACTATGTTTAAAAGTTATAAAAATTGATTCTATTTTTAGGATGCTTATGTTATAATTTAATATATAGATTCCCTTGCATATGTTTGTTTCAATATTGGGTCTTGTTTTTTTAATCCATTTAAACTTAAGGTTACTTAAAAAATACATAGCAGTCCATATTTTGAAAACACAAAAATTTCTAGGTGTTAGGAATACAGTTATGAAAAAAACATAAAAAATTCCCTGCCTTCTTACATCCTGGAGGTGAAAACTGTGATAAAGAAAACCATCGCTATGCCCTATACGGTCACGCAGTGATATGTGTCATGACAAGGATAAAGCCGGGTTAGGGTTAGAGAGTGATAGAGGTGCTATTTGGGATACGATGCTCAGAGAAAGGCTCCCTGACAGGGACACCATTGGGTAGAGTCCCGAGTGATGTCGTGGAGTGATGACTGTAGTATCTAGAATTAATAACTGCGGTTGGGGGGTGGCCTATACAAGCTGGCCAGAGCGGTGCCTGCGGCCCACCCGCGGGCCCTGGGAGGGGCGGGATCGTAGCGGGGCCCTCGTCCTCTGAACCATCAGGCTTGAGAGTGGGAGACCAGTGGCCTCCACAGGAAGAACCAAGTGATGATACCAGAGGATGGGCTGGAAAGGTTCTGGGCAAGCACAAACCGCAGATGTCCACTCTCAGCGAGCCAAAGCGAGAAATAGCCTCTGTTTTTCCAAGGAAATGGCAAGTCAATGGAACTAGGAACTCCCTTCTCTTCAGCCTGCTTTCTTCTCTTTCTAAGCTCTTTTGCACAGACATTCTGACTGCTTATTTTTTTAAGCTAGTTATCCAGCCGGGAGTATTTGGGATCTCTACCAATAGTTCCCTGCTATTCCTTGTCTTTTAAGCTATTTCAAAGGCAGGTTGGGGAAAGGCGCAGGAAGAGACCCTCCCATCATTTTTAGTAGCAGCCTTGGAAAGTACCCAGTCTCCACCTCCAACAGAACAGTGATCTGCTTAGTGTGTAATTCCTTGTCTTGCAAATAATGTGGCGATGTTGTTAACCATAATGTTCAATTCTCAACAAAGCTGCCAAATTCCGGATGGAAAATTTGTCTATTTCGTGTCTGCCTGGTGGTTTCCACGCATGTAATTTCCAAATGTGTGTAGGAAAGAGCAATTTTATTTTTACTTTTTTTGCTGCCAGGATGAATACTCTTAAGGAAGCTTGTGCCTTACAACTGATGAAGGAAGATGTGAACGAGGTTGGGCAGGGGCTGGGGTAGAGACACGGTTGCTGGACAGCAGCGTCTTCCTAAGAACTACACAGGCCATGTCCTATCTAGGGGCACATCTCCTTGTAGAAGGAAGAGCACTAAATAATGCATTGATGGTTTATTATTATTAGAATGCTATGTTTTTGCAGTCTTGTTCCATCTGTTCTTCTGTTTAAAGGCAGAATGGATAAGAAGAAGGCATTCTGGATAAATAATCAGGAGACCTGAGATTCATTGTGGGTTTTGCCTCTCTCTGGATGATTCCAAACATGTCCTTTAATGTCTCTGGGCTTCTGCTTTTCATCTTACCATCAGAGGGGTTGGTTTGTAAATTAAATCACTTCCAGGGGTATTTTGCTTTACTAGAAATTCAACTGAAGTTCCCTAGATGTACTTTTAAGCATCTGTGTATAATTGCGGTTTTAACATATACCACCCATCCTTCCTCCCTCTACCACCAGAAGAAGAAAAAAAATTGTAATAGATTTTTCAAGAAGGGAAACCTTTTCTCTTCTGGATTCTTAATTTCCTCACACTCATGGGGAGATTAAACAAATGACACTACTCGATGTGTAGAATCATCCTTGGAAAATAAATACAAAAACTAAGAAAGGGTTTTCTGCTTCTCAGCACAAATGTGCTAGACCTAAATATCCTTGACATTTGTGTGCTATGGGTGAGGATAGCCTGACGCTCAAAGGGTCTGGAGCAGCTGTTCAGCGTCCCAACTATGGTGTAAGGAAGTCTGGAAGTAATAATAGTATCTACTACATAGGGTTGTTTTGAGCGTTTAATTAGATAATCCTCCTCAAATAGTTAGCAGAGTGACAGGCTGTGGTGAGTATCCAACACATGATGACTATTATTACCATTGATGTTGAAAAGCTGGATTAATATATTATGGCTCCAAAGCTTGTGGCCTAATGCATGTCGACAGGGCCTGGTGTGGTTAGAAAGCTCTGCTCACCTGTTTTGGGATGTGGAATTGTGTCCCCTCTTACCTTGAAATCATCTTTAAAAGAAGTGGTTCACTTAGAGATGGCAGCAGAGCTTAGAAGTGGGTACTAGAAAGTCTGGACACTAGCAAATAGGTCAGAACCGACCCCAGTCTCCTTGTCTCCGCCGCGTGGGCTCTGGCAAGACCCCTGTCAGAGGCGCGGCGTGGGCCTGCCTTCAGCGCAACCAAGAAGGAAGGACTGCTTTCTCTCCGTTTCTGCCTGGAACGCCAACTGGAATTAATTTTCCCTAAAGAGAGACAAATGTGTCTGTAAATCACCCTCCTCCAGGCATGAAGAAAAAAAAAAAAGCACTTCAAAAAGAGAAACAAGCTGCGTTTAATTCCCATAATTAACTTTCTTTATAAGTGTTATCCTTTCTGAGCCAGCAACTATTAGAGAGGTGCTCTTGTTCTTGAGGTGCAGACACATTTTAGAATCCCCTCAAGGACGTGGGCCCTGCTAGACAGGAAAGCAAAACAGCCCTCCATGGAAGGCAGCAAGGTGGCAGGAGGAAGGGGACTGCCCGTTGTTCTCTGGGTATGTGGCTTTGTGTCCACGCCCGCGGAAGATTCAGCGCTCACGGGTGGTGGTGGCAATGATTGGGAGAGCTTCCAAAATGGCACGGCATGTCACTGAAACTTTCCTGATCGGCGGAAAGGGGCCTGTCTCCTTAGAAGCAGTTTTGCAGCCATAGTTCATTTGAGGGCCCTTTGAAGCTATTTAAAAATTAGTGAGCTTAATAGGATACTTTATCTTCATTTGCATGAGCGAAGTCCTGCTGGCCTCACAGAGCCTGGCAACCTTGATTGAAATCATCACGGTTCACTGGGTTCAGGGGGGCGGCTGTGGGGTCGGGGGCGGCTGGGGGGCAGGCTCCCAGGAGGCCAGAGCCATGTTTGTTTAATTTGTTTCATGCAATACTAAGCACATTACTTAAGGAATGTTAGAGAGTGGCTTCGTGCAAGCCTGTTGCTAGATGAGATTAAACTATCGATGGTATTTCTCTCCAGCTCCCTTTCATCACCCTCTCACGGCCGTTCTCTCCCTGTGCTGCTTCCCAAGCCCTGGGAACCCTCCTTTCTACTCATGTTCTGGGGCCATCCCGTGCCCTACCCCACTCTCAGCCTTCCTTTCTTTGGCCATACTGTGACCGGGTCCTCTTTTCCAACGCTTCCTTCATCTCCATCATGATGGCTCTGTTCCTCGCCCCCTTTCTGACTTACCAGATCAGTGTCCATTAGAGAGGATCTGGTAAATTAAACTGACTCCCAACAGACTTGCATTTGAATAGAGGACAGAGCTCAGGTCATAAAAAGATACTTGGAATTGGGAATAAATACTGACATGCAAGTCGAGGGGTGATATCTAACATGGGTTGGGATAGGCAGTGAGCCACTTTCCGTCCAAGGGAGGCAA